GCCCCCCTTCTCTCTCTCTTTCCCCCCTGACAAAATGCAGCTGGCTCATGCACACTGGGGAAGCCCTGTAGATCTTTCTTAAATGCTCAAGCTTTCCTTCCCAGCCCCCCAACTTCAAGGAAGGATGCCGTCACTGTGAAACTGTCACTATGAAGCCCGCTGCCTTGCCTTGCTTTGACTTTGCTTCTTGCTGAAGGCAAGGACTGGGGTGAGCAAGGAATCCAGAGACCGGACACCCCTTTCCCCCACTCCTGTCTTGTCTCCTCCCTCTTTAGATGCTGTTTGAAGCCTTAATATGAAAAAGGTCTAATGGATCATTTTGACAGTGACAGAGTGAACTCCGCTGAAGGACATCAGAAGCCAGTAGGAAGAAATGACAACTTCTACAGGGGCTTGGGAAAGAGGTCAGCCGCACCCTGACTCCAGGCTCCCATTTCCTCAACCTTCCTCGAGGCTGACTTACTCTCAGCATCCCACACACCTGAGAAAGTCCTTCTATTTAACACCCCTGCTGACTGTTCAATCACTGTCCCTGATAGTTTTCAACTTGACACAAGTTAGAGTCGTCTGAGAGGCAGGGACCTCCATTGAGAAGATGCCGTCCTGTGGTTGGGCCATAGGCAAGCCTGTGAGGCATTTTCTTGATTAATGGTTGCTGGGGGAGGGCCAAGTCCATTGTGGGGGATGCCACCCATGGGCTGGTGGTCCTGGGAGCTTTGAGAAAGCAGACTGAGCAAACCATGAAGAGCAAGCCAGCAAGCAACATTCCTTCGTGGCCTCTGTGTCAGCTGCTGCCTCCAGGTTCCTGCCCTGTGTGAGTTCATGACTTCCTTTGCTGATGGTCTGTGATACGGAAGTGTAAACAAATAAGCCCTTTCCTCCCATGATGCTCTTGGTCATGGGTTTCCTTACAGCAACGTTAACCATACCTAAAACAGTTACCAACCTCCCGAAAGATTCAAGGCCAATCCAAGAGACAGGTGGGCAGGTCCTGGCTCCCACCTGGTCCAGGATCCTCAGGCCACCTGGCAGGGACAGAGAGTTTCTTCTGTTTTTGTTTCGATTCTAAGGCACTAACTTGGGCTGCTTGCACTGGTGCAAGTCAGGCCACTAGGAGGCCCCAGGCTGCTATGGCCAGTGAAAAGGAGGCCAGCCCTTATCTTAACCAAGGGATGCCTAGGCCTGAGCTCTGGTGCAGGCAAAACAAAGAGAAATGAGAGCAGAAAGGAGAAATAATGGCCAACCATGAAGCCAGTTGTCATGGAGACGTCGGACATGGACGCAAATCGTTTCCAACCCCACGAGGGTCAATTCTATGGGTGAGTCTGCTGGGGCACAGTGTCTTATCCTGGATGTCTCACAGGGGGTTCTGGGTGAGGTTAAATTTGATGACTGCCCACCTCTATGCTGCTGGGCTTCATCTGACCCATCAAGTGACTTCATGGAACAGAGAACTGGGGACAGAAGGATTTTGTTCTCCCTGCCTGCTTAAGCCAGGCATTGGTCTGCCCTTGGACTTGGGATGCACGCCAGCCAGCAGCTCTCCAGGCATTCAAGCTTCAGATTTAGACTAGAAACAGACACCAGCACTGGCCCTCCTGGGTCTCCAGCCCTCTGCCAATCGCTTGAGCCAATACCTGTTGTAGGAAGCAACGGTCCTGAGCTTAGATGAGAGTTGAACTTGAGCCTTTTCCTTTACTACAGTAACAAAGCCACATGTCCTTCAGATCTTTCCCTGTGCTGACGACAGGCTGCATGAGTCAGTCTCTATCTCTGCCACCCCCCTCAAAGCTAGGCAGAAATTGTAACCACAAGGCCCCAAGAGCTTCAAGGGGAAAATCTCAAATGTTTGGTAAATGACAGGCATGTTTAGCTTAAAATACTTCCAATTAATGATAGGCTTATCAGGCAGATCATATGTTGAGGTATATGTAAGCACAAATATATCTCAACTGTAGACTATATAGGTATAGCATATATAATATACAGAATCTTCTACTGACCCCGTTTCTCTGTAGAGCCCTGCTCCCTTACCATGGTCCAAATGGCCATCATGCTTTGTGAAGATGATGTCACTGCCTCCTGACTGACCTCCGACCATGTGACCCTGCTTGACAGCCTTCACTATCCACTCAAGAGCCTGCGTAGTCCTGGTAAACCATTATTAGTCAGACACATCCCTCCTCTGCCCAACTTCCCAAGAGGCTGCTCCCGATAGACACAGCAGCCTGAAGTCACCTGTGTGACTCCCGGGGCTGCCTCTTGAGGCCTGTCTGAACCACTTGAGTCTGTCTCTTGAACCACTGCCGTGCCCGCCATTCCAGCCCTCCTGGCCTCCTAAGCAAGATCTTGGGATGAGGCCACGGCTGGCTGGAAGGTTTGTTACTCAGATCACCAGCTCACAAAGTGACCCTTTAAGCCCAGCTCCTGTGCCCCACATTTTATCCCTGTCCCCTACTGACTTATCTCCTTGGCAGTAGGTATTACTCAACTCTCCACGTTCATATTTATCCATCTGCCTCTAGTCTCACTCTCTGAAATGCCGGCCCTTCCCATTGAGGGATTTGAGCAATTTTGCTCACTCCCATACCTCGTACCTCCAGTGCCTGAAACAGTTCTCAATACCGCAGAACTTGTTGGCAAAGGACAGACCATAGCTCCAAAGGGAACAGGGGAGGGGGGCATTGTTCCCCTTAGGGTAACAGTTGCTGCCTCAGTGATTGTCTGTTCAGAGGTCTGGTGTGTCTCCTGAGAGGAAAGCCGCACAATGCAAAATAAGATTAGATGTGATTGTTATTCTGACTACAGAGCCAGCCAGGCCTTGGAAAGGCCTGTGTGCCCAGTGCCCAACAATCACAGAAGCAGACACACAGAGCCACCTGCCCCAGGATGCAGGTTAGCTGCACTGGGGACAAACACCTGGTCTTGAAGGAACCCATTCCAGGAGACTAGGCCAGCTGACAGCAAGGTTTGGGGGACAAGAAAGCTCTCTGCCGTATGGGGAGTTAGTTCTCCATGCCAGGCTGCACAATAGCACACAGTGGCCCTAACAGCAGGCCGCCCATCAGTTCAAATAGTGTTGGCTCATTTGACAACAAACACCAGCTGATTTTTCTGGTCTTAACTGCAAATCAGCAAATCGGGTGACTAGCTGTAACCACTCAGTAGTGTCAGCCCCCACCTTAAAGCCCTGCGTGCCGTCACCTTCATACTTGTCACCGGTAATTCTCAAGGTGTCAGGCTCTGTCTAGGGGCTCTGAATTGCACCAGGGGAGTGGGCAGAGGCTGCCAGACAGTCTGGGCGGATTGGAACCATCGAGGTGATGTGGGGGCTGGACCATCTGTAGGTGGAAGGTGACTACTTCCTTTATCTCATGACAGTTACTGGAGTAGCTAGCTTTCTGGCCCTCCTCCACCCTCTGGGCTAGGGAGTCACGGCTTCTGGGGCTCTCTCGGTGGTGATAGCTGAGGGAGAGTGAGGGCGAGTGTGCCTGCTTTTGGAAGCCCTTGACTTCATTCCTGGTCTGGACTCCAGTGGCTGTCCACCAGGTAGAAACCAGAAGATGCCAAGTAAGGGAAAGAAGGGGTCGTTGATCTGGCTGGTTGATTTGACTGGCTCCTCTTAGGCCCACAGGACGGGGAGCCCCAGGCATACTCAGCAAGCACAACCCAGACACCAGCAGATGGACGGTGGGGCTGGAAATCCACTTAAGACAAACAATAAGGGCCTTCTCCAGCGGTTTGTCAGTGGCTTCCAAGAGCAACAAACTCCTCCAGCTGTTCCCACAGGGAAAGCCCCTGAGAATTGTATCCAGAGGGGAAGGAAATCTGAAATCCCCCCTCCCCAGGCTTACCATGGGCCCTCAACCCCTATGGAAAATAGCAAAACTGTGTGTGTGTGTGTGTGGTGGGTGGGTAAGGGAAGTGCTGCACCCAACAGATAGTGGACTGGGCAATCTTCCCTCAGCTTAAAGAGCAGAAATTAGCTCCCGCTTCAGCTCCAGGTGCCAGGGAAGCAGCCTTCCCTGCCCTTCCAGGAATGCACAGCCAACAGGGGGAAGGAACTTTCTCCACTTCCGATTCAAATTAAGTGAGGGTGGCCTTTGCTGCAGGGCAGGGAGGCTGGTTTCCCAGCACTGTGGGTAGTGGTCACAGCTCTCAGCCCAAGGACTGTTGGTGACTGAGTGGCTGAGTATGTGGGGTGATCTCTGATCAAGCTAAAGGCCACAGTGGACACGGACGAGGACACTTAGAAACAGGCTGTCGCGGAGACAGGAATCAAAGGGATGAGGGAAGGAGGGGAAGGGAAGGGGGAAGGGGAGGAGCAAGAGAAGATGGGGAAGGGGAGGGGAGGGGCGGAGAGCAGAGGTGAGAGGAGAGGAGACCAGGGTGGGGCGAACAGGAACAGAAGGTGGGAGAGGACTGGAGCTGGGAGATGAGGGAGAGGGAAAGGAAATGACAGGAATGAGTGAAGAGAGAAGAGGAGGAAAGGGGAGGGCTAGAGATGAAAGAGAAGGATGGAAGAGAGGTGGGGGAGTGAGAAGAGACGGGTGAGTAAGGAGGAGGGGAAGCTAGGTGAGGCAGAGATGAGGAGGAGGGAAGGGGCGAGGGGGAAGGAAAGAGGGGAGGAAGGGTTGGGAAAGAAAGAAAAGGGTGAGAAAAGGATAGAGGAAGGTGGGCAGAGGGAACAGAAGAAGGTGGGAGGGAGAAAGAGGAGGGGGGACAGGAATAATGGGGGGAAGGCTGGGAGGGAGGAGGCAGGAAAGAGAGGGGGGAGGAGGAGAAAAGGAGTAGGAGAAGGGAAAGGAGACTAGGGGCGGGGGAGAGGCAGGAGGGAGGAGCCCTGGTGAGAAAGGAGGAGGATGGAGAAGGGGAGGGGTTGAAGAAGGGAAGGGAAGGGAGGAGAGGGAATGGAAGGGCGGGGCGGGCCGGCGCCGTGGGAGGAGGGGCGTGCGGAGGCCGCGAGCCGCCGGCTCTGGTTGGCTGGCCGCCCCCGTCCCTCCCCCGCCCCTCCCCCCGCCCCCGCCCTCCCGGCGCGGTGGCCGCGGAGAGAAAGTAAGGTGAAAAAGTCCAAGTGCTGCTGCGGGCGCGATGGGGGCCGGCTCCTCAAGCTACCGGCCAAAGGCCATCTACCTGGACATCGATGGACGCATCCAGAAGGTACCCCGCCCCTCCTCTGCGGCCTCTGTGAACCCCAATAAGCGCAGGTGTCCCCACTGCAGGCGCCGAGCCCACGGACGGAGCTGATCTTGGCGGCCCGCCGTGCGCTCAGAGCCCCGGGAGGCGCGGCAGCCGGGGGTGCAGACCCGCGGAGCAGGTCCCAGGTGGACGGCGACAGTCGTGGGAGGGGGGGCGGAACCTGCCGCTGCGTCCTGTGACCTCGTGGGGACTGAGGGACCCGCTTTCGGCTATGCTGTACACTGCCTTCCCAACCAACTTGAGCCACGTAGGAGAGGGGTTCGCCACGGACCCCTTTTGTTCGCGGTCCCTCCCCTTCTAAAGACCCTTCTCTGGACACTTAGTGTCCTTGACTTCGTTGATATTGACAAAGGGACAATGGGTAAGCTGGCGGGGGTGGGAGTGGGGGAGGGTCTCATTAGCTCCCTCTAAAGTGAGTGTTTATGGAAAAGCCCATTGTGGGGAAATTGTTCCCGGACCTCCGCTGGACATCTCAGAGAAGCCGGGCAGCTTGCTGTAAACCCAGCAAAGGAAGCCAAGGAGGGATACCTGATGGGCATGGGCCTCCGTTCTCAGGTGTGTCCTCTTGTCTGGTTGACTTCATCAGTAAGAGAAACCCACCCTCCACTCTCAGACTGATCCTGGAAAAATGGGAAGTACCGTCCCTCCTCAGGCTTGGTGACTTGGGAGGGGCTGGGAAGTACCTTCCAGCGACAGTGGTCAGCCTCTTACTTGAGCATCGTGGGCAGGTGCAGGTTCAGATGCAGGACCAGATCCCAGCTCCCGACTCCAGGAGCACAGCTACTGAGATGTAACAGCCTCCTCTTCCTCCCAGAGGAAGGAAGGACTTCACTGCGTGTCTTCCTGCCTCAGCCCGTTTGAGCACACAAACACGTGCATGTATGCATGTGAAGGCATCAACACACATGCCAGATGTGTGCATGCATGTGTATACAATGTGTATACAAAGCACATATCTGTACCCATGCATTTTCCCCTACCCCACCAAATGAGAATTTATTAAAGATCTGCTTTTTTTTTTTTTTTTTTTTAAATTTTGGTACAAGGGATGAAACCGTGGGCTTCATGCATGCAAGGCAGACACTGTTATTATGCTACATTGCTGGCCGTCTTTTATCCCTTTAAAGAGGAAAGATGAGGTGTCACCTGGCCAAAAGTGGCAGGTCCTTCCTAAAGTCTCCCCAGAGGTCCTCAAATAGCTGCTTGGCAACCAGTGGAAAGTAGAAAAAAGGTTTAGGAGGACCAGGGTAAGTTCTGGGTCTGGTAGGCTGGTCTGAGACTGTGGGTAAGGTGGGCTTTCCCAGTGGATATACCTGAAGTTGAGTGACCTCTAGAAAGGCCACCTACAGGCCAACTCTGGGGTGGGTTGGGGCAGGCTCCTGCGCTAGGCTAGAAGGTCATGGCTTTGGGTGGAGGTGAGACTTGATGTTGAGTGCTGGCTCTGCCACTCTGGGCTCCTCTGGCTGGCATCCTCGTCTGTGAAGGGATCATTATATCTGCTTTATAGACCGTAATGAGAAGTAAATGAGAGGTATAAACAGTGCCTGGACCATGGCAGAACACAAGAGGCATTATTCTCGGTCTTTGTCTGCTCATAAACATTCTTGTCTTCACACCATGGAGTAGAGGCTGGTGGAGCAAGAGGGCCTCCACCCTGCCACTGTGGTCAGCCTCTCACTGATCCTGGGCACCCTGTCATCAGCACTAGGTGTTGAGATGAACCTTTAGCCTGGTGAGAACTAGGTCTCTGGCTTTCCTGGTGTGCATGTTCACATCTCAGGCTCCGTGCCCTGCAACCCTGCACCCATCCACACTGCTGAGACCTTGTACACCAGCCCCAGAGCGTTTCCTCTTACTAGGCACTGGGCATATCTGAAAGTTCCCAGCATGCAATCATTTCTGGCTTTCATTTACCCACTCCATCTCTTCTTCATGGGAGGCCAAGGAATAAACCCCCAGAGAAAGGATTGGGCCCTGGGGATGAGATAAGGCGTATGTCGCTTTCTGCCAAGGCATCAGTCTTGGTGAGGGGCTTGCCCGTGACTCCTGTGTTTTCTCAGCCCTTTGTCCATCTTGCTACCAACTCCTGGCCACCTCAGCTTCAGGCAGACATGGGAGGGGACCACATTGCTAACACTGGCTTTTGCTGGTATTACCTGCCCAACAAAGTTCAGGGAGAAGACCTCGGGCCCTCTTGATTGTACCAGGGTGGGACTCAAAGGAACTAGTGAAGTAGTTTGGCCACTGCTCTGTGCTGCTTTTTGTGTATGGAGACAATTCTGGGTGCATACAGTAACCGGCTTTCTTTAATGGGAATGGCAGTGAGAATTTGGGGGATTCTGGCTTCTATCTCTGGGCCATTTCATGTAGAAGATAAGAGGACTGGTGGGGGGGGCTTGTTCTCCCAAACTCTGTGTAAAATCTGTAGGACTGTTGGGCTGGAGCCATTGTGTCCCCAAGGTCCCACTCCTTAGGACCTCCACTTCCCATCTCTGCTTTGGTTAGTTGCTTCAACCTGTGTCTATTTTCTCAGCTCTTAAGTGAGGTAAGAGCGGGCTTGCTGTTGTAGGTGTAGACAGATGAGGCAGATCAGGTACCCAGCGAGCCACACACGCCCTAAAGTTGGCTGCTGGAGGCTAGGGTCCAGCATGACTGAGACACTCAGGGTACTGTGTTGGCCTGGGGGTGGGAAGCTCAATAACGTAGGTACCCTAAGTTAATTGCAGCTGGCCGAGATGTGACAGAGGGACATGGTGGGGTCTGTGCTGTTGGTGGAGCGTCATGAATTGGCTTCCTTCCTCTGTGACGGGAGGGAAGGCTCCCACCCTGCAGACCTAGAAGCCTTTAGAACATACTGAGTTAGAATTTTCACAGTGGCCAAGGGGCATTGTTGCCCGTCCAGCCACGTCTCTACATTCCTGTCCCTTGGTTCCTCGGCTTACCGGGATGCACAGATGGGAGTCCTTTAAAGAAGCAGGGAGTTGGGAGCCGGATCTGCTCTCTAGAAACTAGACCCCCTCCATCCTTGCTCTGAGGACTCTCCTGTGTCCTTTCTTAGCTTCCGCACTGGGAGGAAGGGGTCGTGCCTCCAGACCTCAGTACTTGGTCCCTTATCTAATCTACAGGGGAGGAAAGCTCTGAACTTACCCACTTAGGGATGTCGAGCATAAGTCAGAGAGCCAGAGGGCCCCTGCCTGGGTTTGCAGACCTGTAAGGAAAGCAGAGCCCTTCAGGGCCTCAGCCCAACCAGCCTTGGGTTGGTTGAAAAGCCAGTAGCTGGGCAAGGGGGGGAGCCTGGGAGCCTTTGTGAGAGCCTGGCCCTGGTGTGGTAAGCGCCCCTCCTCAGCCACTCTAAGCTGCCTGTGGCTTTGTCCCGGCCCATCTCCACAGCTGGAACCTGGGTCTTACTATGGAAACAGCCACTTGAGCTTTGCTGAGCCGTTTCTGCTTGGAATGAGAAAAGCCACCGGGCGCAGCAGCACGAGGACGCTGGTCAGTGTCCCCGTGTAAATGGTTTGTCTCCGTGAATGTGGCTGCCTGGCCTTGGTCCTGCTGGAACCCAGAGCTCACGGTACCCAGTTCTGCTTGGGGCTTCTCAGCACACTCCTGGGTTCCAACCCCCTGGTCCTGTTGTGCCTCTGTGCACCTGCCAGGCTCCGATCTACTGTCTCCACACCGAAGATGTCCTCTTTGGTGCAGCTCCTCAGCACTGAGCGTCCTCAGCCTTGCATGCCCTGCAGGGTTGGTCACTGGGACTGTGGCTCCATGCTCTCTCTTCCTCCGGCATCCTCTGCCCTGCCTGTGCCTTTTACAACTGCCCATGGCCCTCAAGAACTAAGCCTTCTTTCCTAGCCTGCGCCTCCGCCTCTTCTGTGGTCCCACCTTCTATTGTTTAAAGAATGCACCTGCCTTGTCCTGTGATGGGCGGGGTTGCCACCTACAGTGTCTCCTGGTTACTTATCCTCCCTTAGAATAGTCTTGCCCTTTCACTTTGGAACAGATGGGCCTGCCCATCCAGGCACACAGCGGCTATTCTGCCACTGTATGGTCTCCTCCCACTCATATCCCCGTGCTTCTTACGGCCGGGACGAACTGGCTCAGTCCTGTGGGTCCTGGCTCCACTGCCCTCTCCCTCATCAAACCAGGTTCAGCGGTTTCCCCTTGGCTGCCTTCAGCAGTTCTAGAACACTCCGTTTGCCTTCCTCTGATATGTTTATAACTTAGACTCTTTAAACAAATATGGGCATGGTACCCTGAGTGCAGTGAGCTAGAAGAAGAGGGGTGTCCTCATCCTCCAGGGGCTCAGTGTGGAACTAGGGAGGAAGGAATGGGGAATAGGGGCCATTTGAATGGCCAACTCTATGTCCATTCTGACCACTGGCCTGAGATGGCCCCTGGGTCTCTGCCAGGATCAGAGCTGGTTGTGAAGATAAATAAAATCACCTCAACTTTCAGTTTCTTTTGCAATAAGCAAACCACTGTTAAGGGCCTGATGGGACCATACAGTAGGAGTATCCTAGAGGACCTCGAGAGGTCACTGTGAAATCAGAGAACAGGCCCTGGCCTCTCCTCCTGTGCCCAGCTTTGATCTGAGGTTCCTGGAAGCCAGGCATTCCCAGTGACCTTTGACCTGGAAGGGATGCTATAGGTTTAAACCCAGCTTGATGCTATCATGAAGTGACTGCTGATGGGCTGCAGTCCTTTGGAAACACTGGTGTTGCCCAGAGGTGCAAGGAGACTGCTCTGCTCTTGGTGGATATAGGGCAGTGTCCCTGGTCCCCCGCGGTGTTTGATTCTGTCCTTGATGACTGGAAGATGGTGGCCTACTTTATTTTCTGTTGCTGTAATGAACACCACAACCAAAAGCAACTTGGGGAGGAAAGGATTCATGCGGTTTATACTTTAGGTCAGAGTCCACCCCTGAGGGAAGTTATGGCAGGAACCGAAGCAGAAAACCAGCG